ACGTTATACTGTCTATTATAATAAGGTATGATAGTACAGTGTAATATTGTGTTTATCATTGTATGAGGAGTGTAATAGTTTCCACTATATTATTGTACGCTAGCATAGTAAGATGAGTGCTTTAATTACGGTCAACCATATCATTGTTATATTGTACTTTATGATGAGTGATAATAAAAACCTCTGAAACCTCTGGTAAATTACCATACAACAAACCCAACTTGTGAGTTTCTATTATCTACAGACATAATATACACATGTACTGCAGAACCAGGTGGAGTTATCGGGCGTGCGTCAACAACCTGTACAAAGATTCCGTGTGGTGGCGAGCAGGTCCTGTTACATGGTGCACCATCTGTGCCATACTTACAAGTGTACAGGTCACGTGTCCCTGTTTTTCAGCAAAAGTAGTGTTCACATGGACATGCGACAATGCTGAGAGACGTATACTTACTTAAATCCTTCTTTCACTATAAATTAGCCGTAATTACCAATGTTAAGTGTGTAATGGACTGTTAATTAGCACAACCGAAGAGAAATTTACACTGATTGTACTGATGTCAAACTGTATGCATGCATGAACCTCCTAACGATGAACGCAATACTTCAAATTCCATATTTATCTTATATATATTGAACGTTTGTATAACAAACGCCCTTTTCTAATCTCAAGAAAGGCGCTCACAGCAACATTTTGTGAACGCCTAACCCTAATAAGTTGTCAAAGCATGGAGACACAGGGTTCTTGTATAAGGCTCAATCTGCCTTACACATATACAGTATTAGACTGGCCACCAGCCCCTAAGTTTTTATGAAGAATTTCTCGACTGCATTTTACTACTAGCTTATCTCCCCCTAGTTTAGAACTAGAATCAGACATCCAAGTGATCAAAATTATTAGAGTTAGTTTTTTCTTAATTATTTAATATTCTAGAGACGGTGGCCAGTCTAATACAGTATATACGTGGGATAAAAATTCTCAGGTCATTGTGCTCTCCCCCTACCCAGAGCCATGTACATGTATGTTATCTCCCTTGGTGTTTTGTTTGCACAATATAACATACATCATGGCTGTGTCAACATTACAATTAAGAATGGATTATAGACGTGTTAGTGTAAAACTATATTGGAACAATGGTTCAGGTATGGTAACATGAATATCAAACCGAGGTCAAAATTTGGGTCTGAGAGGCAGGATAGGAGGGAGAAGGGTATAGGGATAGGGAAGGAAAGATGGGGAGGAGTGAGGAGAACAGACAGGGAGAGATGGAGAGGGGAGGAAATATAGGGACAGGGAGAGGGTTTGAGAGAGGTGAAGGGAGGGAAAGACAGACAGTGAGAGATGGAGAGAGATAGGGAGAGGGGGAGAAGATAGAGGGACAGGGAAAGGTTAAAGGAGAAGTGAAGGGAGGGACAGACAGACAGGGAGAGATGGAGAAAGAGAGGGAAAGGGGGAGGAGATAGGGGGACAAGGAGAGGGTAGGAGAGAGGTGAAGGGAGGGACAGACAGACAGACAGACAGACAGAGAGATGTAGAGAGGTAGGGAGAGGGGGACGATATAGAGGGATAGGGAAAAGGTAGGGAGAGGTGAAGAGAGGGAAAAACAGACAGTGAGAGACGTAGAGAGATAGGGAGAGGGGGAGGAGATAGAGGGACAGGGAAAAGGTAGGGAGAGGTGAAGGGAGGGACAGACAGACAGACAGACAGAGAGAGAGATGTAGAGAGGTAGGGAGAGGGGGACGATATAGAGGGACAGGGAAAAGGTAGGGAGAGGTGAAGGGAGGGAAAAACAGACAGTGAGAGACGTAGAGAGATAGGGAGAGGGGGAGGAGATAGAGGGACAGGGAAAGGTTAAAGGAGAAGTGAAGGGAGGGACAGACCGACAGGGAGAGATGGAGAGGGAAAGGTGGAGGAGATAGAGGGACAGGGAGAGGGTAGGAGAGAGGTGAAGGGAAGAAAAGACAGACAGGGAGAGATGGAGAGAGAGAAGGAAAGGGGGAAGACAAAGGAACAGGGAGGGTATGGGTAGGAGAGGGTAGGAGAGAGAATAAAAAGAAAGAGGGATTGATGTCAAATATGTAGAAATCAGGGGTCAAAATACTGTATTCATTTAAAATGGCAATTTATTTCAGTAATGGAAATACCCATCATATTTATGATACACATTATATATATAAATACATGTATAAATTGTACATACCACAAAAATATGATTGCTTTGCTTTATCACAACATTTTGCATTTTAACTTACATGAAGATGTTCTCTCACAGAAAAATGTGCAGGACACACACATTTCAGTCTGTGTTCTCTACAGAATGTGACTAGAAAATAACTCAAAGCAAAAATTTGCATTACTCTAACAAATATTCAAAAAAGTATAAAGTGATTGATTCTGCATGCTAACTTTGCTGTATGTGGTGTACACATTTCACAGCAGTATGATGATATAAATAGCATGCCAATCATGTGATTAAGTGTTATATTAATTTTAAGAGGTGATAGTGACCAGGCATTGTCACATCAAAATTAAATGTTTTTATTCTAAGTTAACATACTTTTCCTTCATGTTAAGACCATCAGGCAACCCCAACAAAAGGGTAGCAGCTGTTATATCTTTCTATTCCACATTCTTACAGTAAACTAATATAACATTGGAACTGTTGATGACCCTTCAATGCTAAATGTGAAACCCTCCATTGTTTAAAACATTGCAGTGACCTTTCTGCCACTAATCATGATTGTGATTGGTTGATAGTGTAACACTGATTTGTTGCAGCAACTTTGTAAGAATGACAATGACCTGATAACATAGAGGCAATTTCTGGGAACACACACAATATTTGTTGCCTTTTATTTTGTTAATGATTTTGTGGGGTAAATCTCTGACCTTCCTGAACCGTGAAACAGAAATGCTGTGCTCAAACATCAAAGTCCCAGCTCAATAGAGCTTTTTACTATTACATATATTTCTTGTTATACAGAAGGCACTTTCTAGGCAAAAGGTTTGGAGATTTATCTGTAATTAATATAAAATCACAAATATATATTGGAAATTTGTGAAAGACATTGAATTGAATAATATACAATGTATCACTGCAGTATCACATCATTGTTCTCTATACATATAGTAGTATAGAGTCAACCTAATCAGGACCAATATACAAACACAGTTTTACCAAGTCAGTACCAAATCCAACAGTGTGAAAAACATTGGCTTACATTTATTCTCATGTTAATTTGTTCACTTTCTAATCCAGATCAATGTTTTCAAAATAATGAAACAAGAAAAATCAAAATTTAAAGAAAATGTGAAGGGTACATTTCAGCATTGTTAACTGATGTAAAATCTAGATGTTCCTAGAATTGCAGAGACATTCAGAAAAAAAAGCAGAATATTATAAGGAAAAGCATTCTTTTTAATCGCTAACCTGGTATTAATCTCACACTTGTAATCTTAAAAGTGGACTAAAATGCAGCTACAGGAAGAATATCAGTGTTTGATTCATAAGAGCCTATTAAAAGATTTAAACATATGATGCCTGTGACCTTGAATGTCGAACAAGGACATTAGGTTGAACAGAGTTTAAAGTCTTCCAACCCAGCATGCTTTTGGCAAAATATCATAACCCTGGACCTATTGGTTATACAGAACAAGTCATTTAAAGATTTAAACATATATTGACCACTGTGACCTTGAATATGGGCGAAGGTCATTCATTTTGACAAAATTGGTAGCCCTTCATCCAAGCCTGTTAATGACCAAATATCATCGGCCCCAGTAACCTTGAATACATGTAAAGGTCATTCATTTGAATAAACTTGGTTGCCCTTTATCCCAGCAGGCTACTGGCCAAATATCATCATCCTAAGACTTTCGGTTATTGAGAAGAAGTTGTTTAAAAGGTTTTTATACATATTTGACCCATGTGACCTTGAAAATAAGTAAAGGTCATTCATTTGAACAAGCTTGGTAGCCCTTTATTCTGGCATGTAACTGGCCAAATATCATTATCCTAGTCTTCTTAGTTATTCAGAAGAAGTTGTTTAAAGATTTGTTAAGACAATTGACCCCTGTGACCTTGAAAATGGAGGAAGGTCATTCATTTGAACAAACTTGGTAGCCCTTAATCACAGCATGCTACTAGCCAAATATCGTAACCCTATGCCTCTTAGTTATTGAGAAGAAGTTGTTGAAAGGTTTTAAACATATTTGACCCCTGTGACCTTGAATATAAGTCAAGGTCATTCTTTTGAACAAAATTGGTAGCCCTTTATCCCAGCATGCTAATGGCGAAATACCTTAACCCTAGGCCTCTTAGTTATTCAGAAGAAGTTGTTTAAAGGTTTTAAACATATTTGACCCCTGTGACCTTGAATAAAAGTCAAGGTCATTCATTTGAACAAACTTGGCAGCCCTTCATCACAGCATGCTACTGGCCAAATAGCATCATCCTAGGCCTTTTGGTTATTGAGAAGAAGTTGTTTAAAGGTGTTTAACATATTTGACCCCTGTGACCTTGAATATAAGTAAAGGTCATTCATTTGAACAAACTTGTTAGCCCTTCATTCTAGTATGTTACTGGCCAAATATCATTAGCCTAGGCCTCTTAGTTATTCAGAAGAAGTTGTATAAAGATTTTTTAAGACAATTGACCCCTGTGACCTTGAAAATTGACGAAGGTCATTGATTTGAACAAACTTGGTAGCCTTTTATCACAGCATGCTACTGACCAAATAGCATCATCCTTGGCCTTTTGGTTATTGAGAAGAAGTTGTTTAAAGTTTTTAACATATTTGACCCCTGTGACCTTGAAAATAGGTGAAGGTCATTTATTTGAACAAACTTGGTAGCCCTTCATCCTAGTTTGCTTCTGGTCAAATATCATCACCCTAGGCCTTTTGGTTATTAAGAAGAAGTTGTTTAAAGTAAAATATTGACGCCGGACTCCGGACTCCGGACGACGGATGACGGACGGACGACGGACGCTGCATCATGGCATAAGCTGACTTGGCCCTTTGGGCCAGGTGAGCTAAAAATCATAAATGTTTTTTCATCACAGACATCACACATGAAGACAATGTGTCTTTCAATAATCCATGAAAGTCCAGATGATGTCGGGTGTACAGTGGAAAGCACAGTCACCTTGCACCATGCAGCACAGGTTGGATTCCAGATCGGATGTAAAAAGTTGTTCGATCATCTTCCCACCCACCTGAGTTTTTCTTTGATTTGTCTCATTTCATCACACATCCTATGTTCCCTTCCATCAAGATCAACCACTGGAGGGATTAATACAGCTACAGGCTGCAGTACACCTCTCGGCTAGGTGTTCAAAGCCTGCAGGTATATCAATCTTCACCATACATGTATGTCAAGTCCAATTCTCAAACTCATCTTAGATGTATTTGTTGAAATATAAATTTGTGTATATTATCCGTGGGTGACTAACCCCCCCAAGACAAGTAACGTTTGCTCCCAGTTTGAATTGTGAAAATATGAGATTTCAAATTTTTCTTCATGTGTAATTAAGAAGAGGAAGCTTTATACAAAATAGCAATAGTAAATGACCTGTTTATTTCTACTGATAAATATGAGACTAAACCCCAGCTATGGTAAGTAGAACTTTACATCTATCAGCAAAAAAAACCTAAAGAAACATTGAAATTTTAACCAAATTACATAATCAGAATGCCAGATGCCAATTCATTGACATTTTTTTTAAAAATGAAAATTAATCACGGTAAATCATTATAGTAGTTCATTAGAGCATCATTGATGTTCATCTTATTGGTTGTGATGTAGTATTTGGCAATCTCCACATCATCTGTATCAGTGACTCCAAGGAATTCCTGAAGAAGTCCACTCATCACCTGCTCCACAGGATCTGGTTCCTGTTCGTAGTTAACTCCCCCTGACATAGTTAAACTGTCTGTGTTGTTAATCTTGGCGTCATCTGATTGACTACTCAGTTCCTGGACAGGTGCTGAAGCTCCAGGTATGATCTATAATTATATAACAAAAAGGCCACTTAATGACATCAGTTTCTTGCACATCATATCTTTTTGCACATAAGAGTTATTTCCCCTTAACGTTTATATTAATCACCATTATCTCACAATTGAGAATTATCAGTGTGCTATTAAAAGATAAATATCCGTGTACCTAACAAGACTGTCATGTATGGATTTAGCTGTTGCAAATACCATTTATAAAGATAAAGAACAAATGTGGATGAACTATTTTGGCATGGAGTCCAATGTTACAGTAATCGAGCATACATATTAACTGTATTGTAGCATACATATTAACTGTATTGTAGAATACATTATAACTGTATTATAGCATACATCATTAACTGTAATGTAGCATACATCCTTAACTGTATATTAGCATACATATTAACTGTATTGTAGCATACATATTAACTGTATTGTAGCATACATCCTTAACTGTATTGTAGCATACATAATAACTGTATTGTAGCATACATCCTTAATACATCCTTAACTGTATTGTAGCATACATATTAACTGTATTGTAGCATACATCCTTAACTGTATTGTAGCATACATATTAACTGTATTGTAGCATACATCCTTAACTGTATTGTAGCATACATATTAACTGTATTGTAGCATACATCCTTAACTGTATTGTAGCATACATATTAACTGTATTGTAGCATACATCCTTAACTGTATTGTAGCATACATATTAACTGTATTGTAGCATACATCCTTAACTGTATTGTAGCATACATCTTAACTGTATTGTAGCATACATCCTTAACTGTATTGTAGCATACATATTAACTGTATTGTAGCATACATCCTTAACTGTATTGTAGCATACATATTAACTGTATTGTAGCATACATCCTTAACTGTATTGTAGCATACATATTAACTGTATTGTAGCATACATCCTTAACTGTATTGTAGCATACATATTAACTGTATTGTAGCATACATCCTTAACTGTATTGTAGCATACATATTAACTGTATTGTAGCATACATCCTTAACTGTATTGTAGCATACATCTTAACTGTATTGTAGCATACATCCTTAACTGTATTGTAGCATACATCAGCATACATATTAACTGTATTGTAGCATACATATTAACTGTATTGTAGCATACATCCTTAACTGTATTGTAGCATACATATTAACTGTATTGTAGCATACATCCTTAACTGTATTGTAGCATACATATTAACTGTATTGTAGCATACATCCTTAACTGTATTGTAGCATACATATTAACTGTATTGTAGCATACATCCTTAACTGTATTGTAGCATACATATTAACTGTATTGTAGCATACATCCTTAACTGTATTGTAGCATACATATTAACTGTATTGTAGCATACATCCTTAACTGTATTGTAGCATACATATTAACTGTATTGTAGCATACATCCTTAACTGTATTGTAGCATACATATTAACTGTATTGTAGCATACATCCTTAACTGTATTGTAGCATACATATTAACTGTATTGTAGCATACATCCTTAACTGTATTGTAGCATACATATTAACTGTATTGTAGCATACATCCTTAACTGTATTGTAGCATACATCAGCATACATATTAACTGTATTGTAGCATACATATTAACTGTATTGTAGCATACATCCTTAACTGTATTGTAGCATACATATTAACTGTATTGTAGCATACATCCTTAACTGTATTGTAGCATACATATTAACTGTATTGTAGCATACATCCTTAACTGTATTGTAGCATACATATTAACTGTATTGTAGCATACATCCTTAACTGTATTGTAGCATACATATTAACTGTATTGTAGCATACATCCTTAACTGTATTGTAGCATACATATTAACTGTATTGTAGCATACATCCTTAACTGTATTGTAGCATACATATTAACTGTATTGTAGCATACATCCTTAACTGTATTGTAGCATACATATTAACTGTATTGTAGCATACATCCTTAACTGTATTGTAGCATACATATTAACTGTATTGTAGCATACATCCTTAACTGTATTGTAGCATACATATTAACTGTATTGTAGCATACATCCTTAACTGTATTGTAGCATACATCAGCATACATATTAACTGTATTGTAGCATACATATTAACTGTATTGTAGCATACATCCTTAACTGTATTGTAGCATACATATTAACTGTATTGTAGCATACATCCTTAACTGTATTGTAGCATACATATTAACTGTATTGTAGCATACATCCTTAACTGTATTGTAGCATACATATTAACTGTATTGTAGCATACATCCTTAACTGTATTGTAGCATACATATTAACTGTATTGTAGCATACATCCTTAACTGTATTGTAGCATACATATTAACTGTATTGTAGCATACATCCTTAACTGTATTGTAGCATACATATTAACTGTATTGTAGCATACATCCTTAACTGTATTGTAGCATACATATTAACTGTATTGTAGCATACATCCTTAACTGTATTGTAGCATACATATTAACTGTATTGTAGCATACATCCTTAACTGTATTGTAGCATACATATTAACTGTATTGTAGCATACATCCTTAACTGTATTGTAGCATACATCAGCATACATATTAACTGTATTGTAGCATACATATTAACTGTATTGTAGCATACATCCTTAACTGTATTGTAGCATACATATTAACTGTATTGTAGCATACATCCTTAACTGTATTGTAGCATACATATTAACTGTATTGTAGCATACATCCTTAACTGTATTGTAGCATACATATTAACTGTATTGTAGCATACATCCTTAACTGTATTGTAGCATACATATTAACTGTATTGTAGCATACATCCTTAACTGTATTGTAGCATACATATTAACTGTATTGTAGCATACATCCTTAACTGTATTGTAGCATACATCAGCATACATATTAACTGTATTGTAGCATACATATTAACTGTATTGTAGCATACATCCTTAACTGTATTGTAGCATACATATTAACTGTATTGTAGCATACATCCTTAACTGTATTGTAGCATACATATTAACTGTATTGTAGCATACATATTAACTGTATTGTAGAATACATTATAACTGTATTATAGCATAAATCATTAACTGTAATGTAGCATACATATTAACTGTATTGTAGCATACATCCTTAACAGTATTATAGCATACATATTAACTGTATTGTAGTATACATATTAACTGTATTGTAGCATACATATTAACTGTATTGTAGCATACATATTAACTGTATTGTAGTATACATATTAACTGTATTGTAGCATACATATTAACTAAAGAGGCCACTGCATAAACAAATGAGGAATGTAAATGTAATGATGTCTTTCACTCATGTCAGAAAGCATGCAATCCTTATTCCTGAGCTGACCTTTCCTGGTTTGTCCACTTCTGGCTTGACCCCATGCAACATCTGTAGCTTGTTCCACATCTGGTCATCTTTATGTTTTCTTTGCTGGAGAAATTAAACATTTGTTTTAGAGGCATACACAAACACGTATAATCATCAATAACAGAAAGGACAAATTCAAACTTTCAGAATTAACCCCAATATTACTGTATGTTGACCTTCCTAGCATAAGATGGGATATCCTTGTGTAGGTTGAACATCACACCGTAAAACTCCCGAATCCCTAGGTAAAGCAAAAAATCTCTCATTTAAGATGAAGCATCATAGGATAAAGACAGACCTAACAGGATAAAGTGAGACCTAACAGGATAAAGTGAGACCTAACATGATAAAGTGAGACATAACATGATAAAGTGAGACATAACAGGATATAGTGAGACATAACATGATAAAGTGAAGGACCTAACATGATAAAGTGAGACATAACATGATAAAGTGAAGGACCTAACATGACAAATTGAGACCTAACATGATAAAGTGAGACCTAACAGGATAAAGTGAGACAAAACATGATAAAGTGAGACCTAACATGATAAAGTGAAGGACCTAACATGATAAAGTGAGACCTAACAAGATAAAGTGAGACATAACATGATAAAGTGAGACATAACATGATAAAGTGGGACCTAACATGACAAATTGAGACCTAACATGATAAAGTGAGACCTAACAGGATAAAGTGAGACAAAACAAGATAAAGTGAGACCTAACACGATAAAGTGAGACTTAGCATGATAAAGTGAGACATAACATGATAAAGTGAGACCTAACATGATAAAGTGAGACCTCACAGGATAAAATGAGACCTAACAGGATAAAGTGAGGCCTAAAATGATAAAGTTAGACATAACAGGATAAAACGAGACTTTTACATTGTATGTAAAAGCTCTATGACTTCTCACATTTATATTGTATGTCAATGCTCCGTGACTTCTCACATTTATATTGTATAATTCAAGGCTCCATGACTTCTCACATTTATATTGTATGTCAATTCTCCATGACTTCTCACATTTATATTGTATGTCAAGGCTCCATGACTTCTCACATTGATAGTTTATGTCAATGCTTCCTGACTTCTCACATTTATATTGTATGTCAATGCTCCGAGACTTCTCACATTTATATTGTATATGTCAAGGCTCCATGACTTCTCACATTTATATTGTATGTCAATTCTCCATGACTTCTCACATTTATATTGTATGTCAAGGCTCCATGACTTCTCACATTTATATTTATGACAATGCTCTATGACTTCTCACATTTATAGTTTATGTCAAGGCTCCATGACTTCTCACCTTTATATTGTATGTCAATGCTCCATGACTTCTCACAATTATATTGTTTGTTAATGCTCCATGACTTCTCACATTTAAACTGTATGTCAAGGCTCCATGATTTCTCACATTTATATTGTATGTCAAGGCTCCATGACTTTTCACATTTATACTGTATGGCAATGCTCCATGACTTCTCACATTTATACTGTATGTCAATGCTCCATGACTTCTCACATTTATATTGTATGTCAATGCTCCATGACTTCTCACATTTATATTGTATGACAATGCTCCATGACTTCTTACCATTTATATTGTATGACAATGCTCCATGACTTCTCACATTTATAGTTTCTGTCAAGGCTCCATGACTTCTCTCATTTATATTGTATGTCAAGGCTCCATGATTTCTCACATTTATATTGTATGTCAAGGCTCCGTGACTTCTAACAATTATTGTTTATGTCAATGCTCCATGACTTCTCACATTTATAGTTTATGTCAATGCTTCATGACTTCTCACATTTATAGTTTATGTCAATTCTCCATGAATTCTCACATTTATAGTTTATGTCAAGGCTCCATGATGTCTCACATTTATATTGTATGTCAATTCTCCATGACTTCTCACATTTATAGTTTATGTCAAGGCTCCATGACGTCTCACTTTCAAATTGTATGTCAAGGTTCCATGACTTCTCATATTCAAATTGTATGTCAAGGCTCCATGACTTCTCAAATTTAAATTGTATGGTAAGGCTCCACGACTTCTCACATTTATATTGTATGTCAAGGCTCCATGACTTCTCACATATATATTGTATGTCAATGCTCCATGACTTCTCACATTTATATTGTATGTCAATGCTCCGTGACTTCTCACATTTATAGTTTATGTCAAGGCTCCATGATTTCTCACATTTATATTGTATGTCAATTCTCCATGACTTCTCACATTAATAGTTTATATCAAGGCTCCATGACGTCTCACATTCAAATTGTATGTCAAGGTTCCATGACTTCTCACATTCAAATTGTATGTCAAGGCTCCATGACTTCTCACATTTAAATTGTATGGTAAGGCTTCACGGCTTCTCACATTTATATTGTATGTCAAGGCTCCATGACTTCTCACATATATATTGTATGTCAATGCTCCATGATTTCTCACATTTATATTGTATGTCAAGGCTCCATGACTTCTTACATTTATAGTTTATGTCAATGCTCCGTGACTCCTCACATTTATATTGTATGTCAATGCTCTGTGACTTCTCACATTTATATTGTATGTCAATGCTCCGTGACTGATCACATTTATATTGTATGTCAATGCGCCATGATTTCTCACATTTATATTGTATGTCATTCTAACATGATTCGTTTGCAATGCATGTTTTGATTGGATACGGACCATGTTCTAATCTGCGATAGAATCATGATCAATCGTGTTAAGCTCCTCCCATCGCACTTAAGCCACGCCCCGTTTCAAGCCAAAACAATATGGCGTCAAGCTCGCCTCTTAGCGAAATCCTGCTGATAAGGCTAGCAGGCAAGGGAACAGAAACGACCGATGAAATGTATTTATTGAATGAATTAAAAAGTAAAAAGTACTCATTCCTTGGTCTTACCTCCATTTATTACTGAAACGTTCTTTCCATCCGTGTGAAGGCATATATTTAGATCCCAAATCAAATGAAACATTTCACATGTGTTGTATGCATTTACACAAAACTCTTCACAAATCTATACAAATAATCGCCGATTTTGTCGATAAGCACAGATTGGGAATGCATACCGACATGGAAATGTAAGAACTTGGTCAATATCAATCCAAATGTGTCGTATAAACTTCGGTAACAGGATATTCACGAACAATCCAAATATTCCGCCTCGTCAACATACAGATCGAGCGCTCGCCAGTATGGGCGGGGCCAAATGACCGACTTTTGAAAGCTTCTTTCCGATTGGTCAGTCCGCTGCAGATTGACACGTCGCCTGTTCAGGTCACAAAGTATTTTACTACGTACTTTTGTACAAGGAAATACAATTTTTCTAAACATATTAGCGTAGTATATTTGTTAAGGGGTGTTAGAATGGGGATACTACGTTGTTTTTCGTGTCTATACTGGCGATTAGAACATGAAATTTGGTTTAAACTCTCGACCTATCGGTCTCGCCAGTATAGCCACTCAAAACAATGTACTATCCCCTAAATGCTCCATGACTTCTCACATATATATTGTATGTCAAGGCTCTATGACTTCTCACATTTATACTGTATGTGATAGAACTACAAACCTTGTTTGGTTCACTATAAATAATCCCCCTGTCCTGACATCGCTTTCGGCGAACTGCCTCTCGTACTTCTCTGATCCGATCAAGATGATTATCGTCAACTGGTTCACCTTCTCCACCTGTCCAGTAATCAATAAACAATACATTCACTCACAATTTTCAGTCAGCAAGTTCTTTTCAAAAAAAATATTTATACAAGAGAAACGTTTTATAAACTCTTTGTTCATTAAAACATATTACGGCATCAAAATATTGATTGTGACCTTATGTTAAAGTTGTGTGAGGGTACAATGCACCAAAATAACTTTCTTCACAACAGTGTTATTTAACAATCCATCCTTCTGTTGTGCAATAATTATATAAACTGTGCACATCTTTGTGATATGGTAAGATCAGTCGATCAATTATACAGAAGGAAACAAATCTCAAAAGGTGTGCTTCAAAGAAGGTACATCATACATAAATATCCTATTTGTATATTTTGCACTTCATCTAATTCTATAAAGCATATCTTACACATCATTACAGTGACTCTAAACCTGTCACTAATGGGGTTGACCTTATAATGACCTGTGTTAATTATGTCGGTCATATTCTGTATGAAAATTTCACAACTACTTTGTGGTTACTAGATACAAGAAATGTACCTGTGACCTGGTAATTAACAGGTAATCATTGTAACAGGTAAGGCTATCTTGTTTACATTGTAGCTGCCTGCACATACAAGTTTCAAGTTTCAAGTTTTACAGTACATACATGTATAGGACTGTATCATGTTTTTATCAAGGTCATTTCAAAACAATTTTGGTACATGTAACTGTAGTGAAGTGAAATCCAAAAACAGGTAAAATATAAAATATCAGCATCCTTTGTACAAATACAAGTAACTTATTTACCACCTTTTTCAATTACTACATCAATGGCAAGATTTCTCTTTAAACTGATAAATAATTAAGTATTACCAAACATTTTAAATACACTACCTGGAGTGTTGGCTACGGACACTGAAGGAGTGTTCAATTGTTGCATCGCAGCCGTTCCTTCTGGTCCAAGTTTAAACGAAATGATGTACTCAATCATGGCTCTTCTGTTCTCATACACTACAAACTCATTGTAGTCCCGCGGACAGCCCTGTAGGGTTATAACAGTATAGAGTTATAAACACTTCCAAAAGTAACATTGTAGTCCCGTGGACAGCCCATTTAGGGTTATAACAGTCTAGAGTTATAAACACATCCAAAAGTAACATTGTAGTCCCTCAGACAACCGTGTAAGGGTTCTCATACACTACAAACTCATTGTAGTCCCGCGGACAGCCCTGTAGGGTTATAATAGTCTAGAGTTATAAACACATCCAAAATTAACATTGTAGTCCCTCAGACAACCGTGTAAGGGTTCTCATACACTACAAACTCATTGTAGTCCCGCGGACAGCCCTGTAGGGTTATACCAGTCTAGAGTTATAAACACTTCCAAAATTAACATTGTAGTTCCGTGGACAGCCCTGTAGGGTTATAACAGTCTAGAGTTATAAACACATCCAAAAGTAACATTGTAGTCCCATGGACAGCCCATGTAGGGTTATAACAGTCTAGAGTTATAAACACTTCCAAAAGTAACATTGTAGTCCCG